AACATCAGAACCACTATGGTCTAAATTTGGCATGGGTTGTAGACCTAAAACCCAACCCACACTATCAGGAATCAATAGCCACAACTCCACTGTTAAAAGCACAGAAGCTTTGGTGGCCTGCCTGGTCTCTTTGCTCAGGCTGAACATACCTGGGTTTGGTTTGGCTGCTTCATGACTGCCTAGAGGAACATCCCACCTATGGGCTGTTCCAGGGACATACTGCAGCTTAAAAATAAATTGCAGTGGCAATGCTAGCAATTCATCATCATCCACTGTCCTCACCAGGGAGGAAAGTGGTAACACCTGGAACAACTGTTTATGCAGCCCGCTCCGCATTCAGCTTCAGGAAGCCCTGGGAAGGGCAGTGGTCAGGGGAAAGTGGTGGGGATTGCCCTGGCAGCCAAATCTGGCTGCCATCCCTCCCAGGTGATCCTGCCCTGGGCCAGGAACAGGATTGTGGCAGCAACATGTGCCAGCCTCTTCCAAAGCTGCCTTCAGTGTAGGCTGTGGGCACAGAAGCACCACCCTGCCCATGTGTGGCTGATCCAGACGCCAGGACACATTGAAGCTGCAAGATCCCACACCAAAAATACCAACAGCCAAACAACCACCACCACACCCCTGCCCCCAAAGCACTGTGTGAACTAAAAAGCCAGGTACAGATCAGATCATTGTCTCTGATTTGTGTAATAAACATAGTTTGCTTCCGTGCTGCATTACAAGTACTTAGTCCTGCTACTACTCTGCAGAGGTATATTTATTATTTTATTCTTGTTTCACAGATAGAGAAAGCAAGAGACAAGGCAATCACTTTCAGAAGCACTGGCTTTTGAGCTGTTAGTACACTGGGGATGCCCAGCTGAAGGCAATGAATTACAAAGTACTTCAAAACAAACATATACAAAAAGAACCCAAAAACAAGTTAGCCAATTTTTGGACCCTAGGTCAAAACTATATTACTGGCCAAAAACACCAGTTACCTTAGCTCTGTCCCTTCCCAGTAGTAAGCAGCTTATTAGGAGAACTTTTGTACAAAGCACTCGGAACACAAGCACTCAAGGATAACTTTTCTAAAAGGCAGAAAGATTGCTTCCATGTCACTTTACAAGACTTCATGTCCCTCTAATCATCATTTCGATCAGCACAGCACCGTTTAGTCGCCTCCCTCCAAAAGGCATTTCGGGATGCACACTGCAATATGCATATAAATTACCATTAAAGCATACTCTGTTTCACTGGGGCATTTCAGATTCAAGATGCTATTTTAATAGGTTGCCTCCCAGGAAACTGACTTCACCTGTAATGACACAGTGAATGCTAATGACCACTGTTTAATTGGTGCTGTGCTAGTAAAATTTTGCTTCAGAGGGATTCAATTTACTTGGTGCCAAGGAGTTAAGTGATTAATCAGGTGTTAAATAGTGTGTACTTCCAAACACTGGTCTTCTACCATTCAATCCTACCCCACTGAATTTAATAACGGCTTTGTCACTGACACTAACAGAAGGAGGATCCTCCTCCTAGTACACAAGTAAACATTAAGGAACACGCTCTGCACTGACAGATACTCAGCCTTGGCTGAGGGCAACTGGATTCTGGCCATGTGGAGCTGGAACAGTCCCTCAGCATGGGAAGCCTTCGGTGAGAGAGGGTTCTCTGCAGAAACAGCATGAATGAGGTATCAGGAGATATAACCCACCATCCAAAAAGTAAGTCAGTCAGGGGGAGCAAATTAAGATTGAAAACTCAAACACTACAGTGATTCCTTGCCCTTCAGCTCTGCCTTTTTAAAAATTATTACAAAGTACATCCTCCAATCCAAAATGAGCACTCTATGAAGTCCTTCAGCTACAGGATTGTGTGCTGAAGGACTCCTGCAGCCACCCCATTGAGCTTAGCAAAAGAGACAGCACCTATATCCACCAATCTTGCACCTACATAAAATCTGCACTGAAACCAGCTGTGAAACCTGACTCGCAGTGAGGCACTGTGCCTTCAGTGCTGCCTACAGAAAGCACTCTCAGCTCAGGCATCAGCCAGGTGCACAGAGAGGTCCTGGTCTGCAAGACCCTGAAGCATCTGATCTGTCTCCATACCCCCAGTTTTAGTTCTCACACAACTCCACATTGTGCCAGCACAATTGTATGGTCACATGGTAAGTCAGACTAAGCAACTGAAAGTGTCATATCTACAAAAAATAAAATAAACAAATTAAACTGTGCCCTTTGGGAGCCTTGCCCTTGCCTGCTGTATTTTCAATATATGACACCACAGTGATATTCTCAAGGTATATTCATTTCAGGCAAAATATTAAGGCAATCCTGACAATCAGAAAGCTCCAGGTGAGGTTTTAAATAGAACTTATCTCCATATAGACCTTAATGAATCACAAAAATCATCATGTGTCTAAACTGCTAGTCCTGTGTCCCTCTGAGCTTTTGCTCCCGTATATGTCTTTGCCAGGATGTTTACACTCCCCTGCTGCCTCAATTCTCCCATCTGTGGGAGGAGAGGTGAGGCCTTAAGGATCACTTGCCAATACTGTAATGAGTGCCAACATCGTGGCAGTATTTACAACAATATAATCAGCTAACTACCGTGGCTCAGGATCAGAGGAACACGTTTACTACCAACACAGATATTCCATCTATGAAAAAAGAGTCTGACTATGACAACCACACCAGATGCCCCTTCCCAGATGACCTCAGAGTCAAAAGCCTTCAAGCCCTCTCAGACTGGAGTTTACCACAACCCCAAAGCCTCCCAGTCAATGCAGCGAGTATGCTGACACCCTAAGCTGTAGCAAAAACTGAGGGCCCAACCTTCATGCTCACCTCTCACCCCCGAGGTTTTACTTTCTAAACCCCAGCATAAGCTCTCTCTACAGCTTTAGACCCTACGCACACACTTAACCTCCCTGCCACAACTGCACAGTGGGTCTGCTTGCCATGAGCCAGGCAAGCACACACCTAAGTGCTGGCAAGGAAGGGTAAGGCTATCAGCAGGGTATTTTCCATCTCCCAGAGGAGTCAGCCAGTACATACTTGCTGCAAAGCAAGCACACATCAATACACAATCACACACACACCGATAACTACGTAACACAATCCAAGATAGTACTGCAAGCTTACACTGATTACCAGTAATAAAATAGAAAGCAAAAATTCACCTCCTCAAAGTTTTCCCAAATCTGATTAGAGCACGTCTCTAACACAACAAGATAGGAAGACTGGGCACCAACAAAGCACAGGCCTTCACCTTCTCTGCTGAAGCTTTCCATGTTCATCGCCCCAGGTGCTGTGCCATTTACTGCCTGCACCCTTGCCCCAAATTGCAGGAGGAAGGGGAAAGAAAGAACACCAACAACAAACCAAGAAATGAACAAGAAAACAAGAAAACACACCCACCAGCAGCACTGCTTCCCGCTCACAGGCTCCTAGTGAAACTTCGTGACACCCATGTAAGCACAACACTTGCCTACTTTGCAGAACAAGGCAGCAAAGTTGGGGTACTCTTGTGTAGCTTTTTCCCCTGCCTCAGTATCACATTTCACGCCATGAGCCAGACTGGAATACTGAAGAAACTATCAGCTGCACTCACATAATCAACTACCATTTAAATAGCTCCTTTTAAAACCAGCTGGTGAATGCAATTACCTTTATCACCTGGTTTTAAAAAGTGTCCAAAAAGCAATGATACTTAGAAAAGCTGAAGGGAAAGCTACCCAGAACATTATACTGGTGAAGAAATGCTTTCATTTGAAGTTACCAGAAAAAAACAGCAGCTGTATCTCGTTCTATGTATCTTTAGGGACCCAATGAGTTAATAGAATGCATTTTGCCTGCATTAGCATTTCACTATACAGTAACACGCATACAATACCCCGTTATCCAGTTTGCTTGTCTGTGTTACCAAAAGTCAAACTAGACTCTAAGCCACGAGATTTCACAGGACACAGGCCTGATTGCATTTAACTCAGCAAGAGAAAATACACCCAGAAGTTTTCAAATTGTGTTCCCACCATACAGAACACAAGATTCCTCCGTACACATACAGGACAAGCAAACAAAAGAGCATCACGCTGAATAAGTGTTTATTCCAGGCTCTTCCCCTTACAGGGAGTCTGGAAGTCACCTCTTTCTTCCGGGCAGGGAGAGACAACCACTAAAGATCTCCTTCTTACTCGGGCACAGTTAGTCAGGAACAGAAGGGAGATTCCTGGCTTGCAACAAGACAAAGCGACTCCTAAATAAAATGCAAAACCGGGGAGTGAGGGAAGGCAAGAGGAAAGCAGTGGGCTGCTAGATAGGAAGGGTCTGGACAAAAAAGGAAACTCAATTTAGTTTCCATTGTCTCAGCTTCATGCCGCCTCCACTTAAAACGATAAACTTTCCGGGATAAGCCCTTCTTCAGCAGGCCAAGGCACGGGGAAACACATCCCCAGCCCCGGCTGGAGCGGGACCGGGCTGGCAGCCCCGGCTCGCTACCTGCCACCGGCAAGCGATGCCAGGAATTACCAGCACTAAAATAAACAGCAGTAATACGGATAATGAAGGGGGATATATTAAAATTCAATAACGAAAGAAAGACAGAAAGACAGCCAGCAAGACAGACCCACTGTAGGCGGAAGCAGGAGCGGCTGCATCTCCCCGGAGGCAGGAAACTTTCTACCAAGTCGCCGGCGGGGCCGGCGGGCAGAGCCCGCGGGAGGCCGGGCCGGGCTCCGGGGCCCCCTGAGAGCTCCGTGCCGTGAGAGGCACACTGCACAGCCGGGCCCGCCGCCGCGTCCCGGGCAGCGCAGGGCGCTGACAGCCCGCGGCACCGCGGCCGGGGAGCACCGCAACCGGGGCACCGACCCCGGTGAAAAACACGAGAAGGAAAACCGGTCATTTCCTCCGAACCAGCCCTGGGCAAAGCACGGCGGAGCCCAGCGCCCCGAGGCGCCGGCGGGCGCGACCCGTGCTGACAGGGGCCGGGCGGGCAGAGGGACGGGGTCTTACCTTGATGCAAAACTGAGCAGGAGGCTCGGACATCTCTCCGGAGGGACTCGGCGGAGCCCGACGGGGCAGGCGCGGGCGGGCAGACGGGAAGTTCTCGGGCTCTCCCCACTTTCCGCTCCTCTCCCGGCGCGGCGGCCCGGCCCGGCCCGGCCCCTCAGGGCAGCGGCGGCCGGGGCGCGCGGGGCAGTCGGGCCGCGGGGCCGGGGCCGCTCCTCGCTGCTGCCGCCGCTCCCCCGCCGCGTGCGCGCCTCGCGCGTGCTCGCGGCTCCGCGGGAGAGGCGGGAAGCGGGAGAGGGCGCGGGAAGGGAAGCGGCGGGGGGGGGGGGGGGGGCGCGGCCTCGGTCCCCGCCGGTGTTTTTCTTCCCGGAAAAGAGAGAAACCGAAAGGCGGCAGCGGGGGCCGGGCCGGGCCGGGCCGGGCGCTGCGCCCCGCCCCGCGCCGCCGCTCATTGATCCGGAGTTTCGGGGCCGAAACTGACGTGGGTTCCCGGCACCCGCACCGCCTCTTAAAGGGGCCGCGCCGGCCCAGCGCCCACCGCCGGCCCAGCGCCGCCGGCCACCGGGCGGAGCGGCGTGAGGCTCGCTCTGGCCGGGCCCTGGGTGCCGCTGCGGGCCGGCCAGGGCCGGAGGCAGGCTGGAATGGCGCGGTCGGGCCGTGTCGCCATAGCCGAGCCGGCTCGGTTGGACACGGCGCGGGCCCTTTAAGCACCGAGCGGCGGTCCCGGCGGCACCGCCAGCTTTGTTCAGTCGCCGCACGGGCAGCCCGGCCGGGCAGCGCAGCCCGCGGAGCCGCCACCGGCCCGGCCCGGCCCTGCGTTCGGAGCCCGGCCTGCGTTCGTGATGGGAATGAAAACAGCAGGGGGAAAGGGAAAAGCACTTCGGCCATCTCTTCGTCCAAATCTCTTTGTGATTTTACGGGCACTTGCTGGCTAGGTGCTACACACAGTGACTGAAGAACACCTTTGAGCCCTTTGAACAAGACGGGCCAAACCCTGTGTCGTGTGTTAGCTTTTCTGCTTGGTTCTGCCCTTGTTTCTCTGCCCTGATTTCTTGCAGTTCCTCTCGTTAGTTGCGTCTCTTAAGACCTCAGAGTTTAAGGTCCTGCCTGCTGCTCTGGACAGGAGAAGACAAGTGCTACCAAATCTCCTGGTGTGCAGGGTGGTCCATAGTTGCAGGACAGTTGTTCTGGAAACGTAAGGAGGAAGCTGCTCCAGCTGTCAGCTCCCCTTTAGCTCTGTGCCACGTGGAGATTGCACAGAGCAGAAAGAAGTCCATTAGCTCGTATTTAACCTTGAACAGGCTCCCAGTGAGTTCCTTTCCCTCTCACCTAGAGTCTACTGCTTAGCTTATCTCCAGGGAGGACCCATTAGTTAGGATTTGTGATCTGGCAGAGCCACCTGTCATCAACACTCCAGCCAGAATTCCCCTAACTTTTGTTCGGATGGATGTCAGCAGCACTAATAGAGGCAAAATGTGCCATGGCCTCTGAGGAGGCCAAGCTCCTACCTTGCTTGGGCTCTCCCAGAAAGGGAAGGTGGATGGTGTGTTGGATGAGAAAATCAGCAGACTCAAGTATGTTTTTCTCACAGTGGTCTGAAAAATCTGTCTCTAGATTGTATTGGTATTGTATTTGCTGGCCTAAAGGCTGTCCCTGAAAACAGAGCAAACCCTGAAGTAAAGGAGACAAACCACGCTTTCATTGTGACTTAAAATTTTCTGTCCAGTGCATCTGCCCAGCAGCTTCCACTGATTCTCTACCACCTGGGCTTCTTTCACAGCCATAGGACTCTCAGTGTCTTCCTACTTGCACTTGCTCAGCAGCTGAACCAGGGGCTTTTTCTTATGTCCCAGAAGGATGTTGAAGCCTTCTTCCCAGAGGAGTTAGACATTTAACTACCTACATCAAGCTGAAAGCCAAGGTTTTCGTTCCTTCTTTTGCGTGTACTGTTTTTCTGGTTTCAGCAGTGCACAGCAACACCTCAATAATAATTGACTTTTATTAAGGAGACTTTGTTCGTGGTAGTATTTTTCCTTTCCTCTTTTTATTTTCAAACCAGACATTACTTCCCAGAGCCCAGTTATCATTAACTCATTCTACTGCTTCTCCTCTGTTATCTTTTCCTTCCCTTTATCTTCCCCCAGCACAACTTAACTGACTCATTTAGTGCTCACTTGTTTGCCTCACTTGTATTACTAGTTTTATTTTTGTCTTCCAGTGTTTGAGCAGATTCAAATGTGACTTGATAGGTCTGCTGATATTACTGGGCCTCAACAGAGATGACTCTTCCAAACTGAGGGACAGAATCAAGCTCCTAACAACAAAGCATAGTAGGAGACAGTAAATTCACAGAACATGCAAGGACATGTTCATATTAGAATGCAACTGATTTTTTAGTCTTGAGGGCTAAAGGGAAAATCCATGAGGCCTGATAAACAGAGGTGCTATGGAAGTGATTCCCATTGCACATTTAGCACTGTGATTCCTTTCCCTCTTACCAAATAGGTTTCTGAAATTAAATTGTGTTTTATGGCCTTAATGTGCATCAGTCATGCTGCTTATCATTAGCAGTAAGACTACCCTTTATTTCATGTTATCAGGCAAGTCCTTTTTCCAAGATTCACACAGGTTTCTTTTGGTAGAAGTCCCAAATGCATGACTTTTTAGGAATAGTTATGAAATCCAGTCTGCAGTGTTAGAGGGAGAAATGCTATATCCATTTTATTTGCATTCTTGCAAATGGGCTCATCTAAGATTCTAGTCTTACTTGAGATTCCATAGTCTGGCTGTATGAATAGGATTTGCACCAATATAATGATTTTGATAATCAGCTTGTTTTGGTTTGGTTTGGTTTTAAGTCAAAATAGCTATATTTGTGCATTCCCCAAAGCTGCAGGCATTTTAATATAAAGATACTTGAGTTTTCTTAGGCACCCACATAACTTTCCCATTTCAGAAACAACAGCCAAACTAGAAATGCAAAAATACTGGTATGACACCTATTCATCCAGCAGCAAATATATGTAAAAGAGAATAAGGCTGAATGTCATTCTTGATGGTCTAAGCCACATCATCCTCATACATTGTCACATATAGTATTATTTTGAATCATCTATTGTATTGCTTCTGAAAACAGGAAAAAAAGTTTTCTATTGCTCCAGGTGTCACTCTTGTGCTCAAGAAAGGGAAAGGGAAATTGAGAAGTTTACTGTTGTTCAAAGCAGCACAGCATTTTCTGAGACAAGTTGATAGTCACATTTGAGAAGTGGACTCCATGGCACAAGTCACTGCTCAGACACATGCTGACAGTGCTACTCCTGGAACATATGCTCAAGTTGTAGCACACAAAAATGAGGCAGTGAGTGGCCCCGACAGAGCTCCTGACAGTGAGGCAGTCAGAGTGCCTTCAGTACTGTGAAAAGACACAGGAATACATGACTTGTATGTCTGTGCCTGTGTGTCCCCTGTGTTTAAAGCCAGCACAGTTCCCCTGGCTATGGTCTCCCTCAGAAGGAGACTGGCAGGGATACATTAAACTGGAATATTTTGGTTCCTGAAGGGCACAGATGCAGCTTGTCCCCTCAGCTCATGCTGGCAGTGTCCTTTCCTCAGCTCCAAAGAGCCAAGAGGCTTGGCCAGGTGCTGCTCCTTGCCCTGCCACTACAGAGTCATGCCCCAGCAAAATGTGTGGAAGGGCCACCAGGCATGCAGGGAGCAAGGAGTAAAATCAGGGTACCTCTGCCTTTGGCTGGAGATGGCCAAGGCTGGGCAGGCTGTATCCAAGGAGGGAGAGCAGCCCCTGGGCTGAACAGGGAGGGGAAGGTCAGCAGGAGGGAGCTATAGAGAAGCTGGGTAAGAGGCTGGGCTGCACCAGGCAAAATCTCCCCACTCAACCTACTTTAGCAGGGCTGGTTGTTTAAATGGAATTTAAATCTCTGCAGATATGTGAGGAACTTCCTGGCATCACCAAAAGACATGCAGTGACAGGGGCAGGGCTGTGCTGCCAGGGTCAGGCATGGGCACAGCCAGAGCAGGTACCACAGAGAAATTGCTGTGGACATGGGCTCATCATTTCTGCAAAGCACTGGTAAGTAAGGGAAAGAAGAAAAGGTTACCAAAAACAGGATTTTTGGAGGACAATTCTGCAAAGCACTAGATGCCCAGCTCCCAATTTCAGGCATAAGAAGCTGTTACTTTTGTGTTTGGTTTCCACAGTCCAGAACAGTGAAGTGTATGTCAGTATTTACAACCTCTTGAATTCAAAATAATGAGTCCGTTTCATCTCACCACAAAATCACAAGATTTTTGAGGAGCAGAATTACTTCCGAAAATTCCTTAAATTGTATGTGTGTGTATTTACTTACCTGCCTCCAGATTTCGTCTTGTACAAGTACATGTTTTCAAACTTCCCCCATAAATTCTGAATGCTGAAAAAATTCTCTCTTCTCTTTCATTCCTTCTTCTTTCTTCTCTATTATTTTTCTCTATTCCTTTTTGCCTTTCCACCTGCCTTTTGACTTTGGACCAGGAAAATTAAGAAGCATTAAGTTATATGATGTAACTCAAGGTAAAAGTAGAAAAATCATCAAGCTATATTTTGTTATTGTAAAACATTTTCAACAAAAATAAAGAAAAAATAGAAACTGAAGGAATAGGGTTCAAATTCTGTGTCAGGTTAAGTCCAAATCGATTTACATTTTGCAGGTACTATGGTTGATTTTTACTTCTCCAGTTCAGTCACCTCAGCTGCAGAAATGAAACAAACTTTTCTAAAAACCCAATCCTCTCTATTAGTAATATTTTCCCAGTCTCACCACTCCCTTCCTCCTTTTTCAGCATCATTTTCTCCACAGGGTGACAGGATTACAGCTGTTGTGCCAGTTCCAAGTTGTGGTGTGCATTCTGTCATCTATGTCATTGTAACTCTCTGTCTAGCTGGCAGTAGAAGAGTGACACAAATTGTTTTCCTGCCGGATAAAAATTGTCTAGTAGATTTAATGCTCATAACCTAATGTGAGGAATAATATTGTATGAGCAACAGCAGTCAATCTGCTCATAATGGTATTGTGTCCTCTGGTATTGAGGGGAAAAATGGATCCTGTGGAAGCTCAGCACCTTTCTGAGTAGTTCTGCAGCCTCTGGGGCCAGGGCTTACAGCAGTGTGACCACACAGTTGCAAAGCCAGTGGGCTGATGTGAGAACTCAAGCTTGGAAATAGAGAAGGAAATGGAAACTCAAGGCTGAGAGTTGTGTATGCTCAGCAAATGGTACAATGAAACCCTGGTAGATGAAAAAAAGAGCAATGCAAGTACAGCTTGTTGCACAGAACTGTGATTTATCTGCTTTTGTTTTCAATAGTTCCAGAGGCATCATGATGTCAGATTTTATAGCCTATTAAATCATGTCTGACATTTATGGATGTCATTTAGAGTGCATGCATTATGGAGAGTTAGTAGCCTCTCCCTGGCTGAGCAGCAGTTTCCACTTACAGGTCTTACTCCAGCCTCACGTCCTTTTATACCTTGAGGTGAGATACAGACAAATACACTCCAAAGAAAACTATTTTGGTGAAGAATACAGAACATAAACAACTTTTCTGTTCCTATTGGGTTTGGACTGTCCTAATCTGAAGTGACCTTGATTTCTGTTGTCATCTCACATTCCCAAAGGCACATCTTGCACCCAGAAGGATTGACTGCAGCTTCTGCAGGCACTGCACGTTCTCCACCTCCATCACAGCAAACAGATTGCCCTCTCCCAAGAAAGAGGGAGTAACCAGCCCAGGTTTCCTTCAGTGCGTGTAGGGAGTGGTGTAATTAAGACCGGAAATTTGAGCTGACCCCAATATTAGCTTGGCAAGAGGTGCTGAGGTGGGTGGACCTGCGTGC